ATATTGGTTAAATATCGAGTAATAACGCGTTTATCGATATATATCGATATTTTTCTAACGATATATATCGATATAACGTTATATATCGATATATATCTAGTAATAAAATTTCCTGATGATACTGCTAGCAGCTTGTTTTTCTTTCTTGTGCAAAATTCTTTCTGCTATTTTGGCTCTTTTTCGAGCTTGCAATTCTATTTTTTCTTCTTTGACTCTTTCTTTTTCTTTGTGTTGGTTTTTTACAACAGATTGGACCGATTGATTAAATTGTTGCACTAATGAGTTTAGAACTATCTTGTTATACTGTTTTTGTTGATTTCTCCTTTGCTCTTCGAGTCTCTTGCTCTAGCTAGATTCAATTTTCGATTTTATCTTAGCAACTTGCTTCTTTTCCAACTCTTTAATTTTGGCAACCTGTTTTTTACAATCTTTTTATCTTTCTTATCGTATTATCTGTTCTTAGTTCTGCTATAATGTCTTTTATTTCTCTATATATAATATATTCAACTGGGTCTTCTTCCTTTTCCATTGCTTCTAAAAAATTAATCTTTGTCTCTTGTTTTGAGTTCGAGTTCTGTATACTGACTAATACCTTCATCGTATTGCTGTTGCTTCTTGTGTAGTACTCTTATTTGCGTTCTTGCTTCTTCTTCTGTGATTAATTTTGTTTTAGCAAATTCTGCTTTAAATGTTCTGTAATAAACTTTATATTATATTCTTCAGTCTTATTATTATATACTTCTGCTATTGCTTTAGCTTCTTTTGGCCTCGATCTATATTTTCCAGAATTTTCTATTACTGGTACATCCACGTAACTTGTTTTTTTCATTATTGTTATTTGTTGTTGTGATTATTATATTCATTTGTTGTTTTTGTTTGAATTTGTTATGTGGCTTTTGTCATATTTTCTTTGTTTATTTTTTATTACGTGTTGTGATTCTTGTATTACCAAAACAGATCTGCAATTCAGGGTCAAGGCTGATTTCCCAAATTTTTGCAAAATGCAAAAAAATACCAATAATATTTTATGACTTCTTCTATTTCTTTGTCATTTCTGTTTCTTTTAACTCAAGTTTCTAAGAGACTGAGTGTTTCTTGTCATTCTCTTCCTCTTTCCTTAAAGCTTCGAGTTTGGTTTTCTAAAGACTTTTGTATATTTTTTATAGTTTTTAATTAATTTGTTTTTCTAAAAATTTGTGTTTTGATAATTAGCGGAAAGAGTTGAGTTACTATTTTTTTTTGTCTTGAAGAGTAGTTTTTTTTTCTATATATATTTGCTTCTTTTCTTTCAGGTGTGGTATCTTTTTTTTTTCTTATATTTTACTGCTATTTCTTTTTCTTCTAAGTGTAAATTTGCTATTGAAGCCATCATTACTAGAGATTTCAGGTAAGTTTTTCGTCTTAGTGTTGATTTTCTTTTTATATTTATTATTGCTTTTCTTTCTTTTAGGTTTGATTTCGCTATTAAAGCCATCATTACTGAAGTTATTGGAGTTGCTATTTTTTTCATCTTGGGAAGTAGTTGTTTTTTTATATATTTGCTTCTCTTCTTTCAAGTATAGTATTATTTTTTTTTTTTATATATTTTACTGCTGTTACTTTTTCTTTTGGATGTAAATTTACTATTTGAGCTGTCATTATTGGAGATTTTAAGTAAGTTTTTTTGTCTTGGTATTGATTTTTTTTTTTTTATATATTTACTACTGCTTCTCTTTCTTCTGGGTTTGATTTCACCATTAGAGCTGTCATTACTGGAGTTATTGGAGTCACTGTTTTCTTTGTCTTGAGAACAGTTTTTTTTTTATATATTTGCTTCTCTTCTTTTGGGTGTAGTATTGTTTTTTTTTATATATATTTTACTGCTATTTCTTTTGTTTCAGATATAAATTCGCTATTAGAGCTATTGTTACTAGAGATTTTGAGTAAGTTATTTGTCTTGGTATTGATTTTTTTTTTTTATATATATTTACTACTGCTTCTTTTCTTTTAGATTTGATTTTACTGTTGAAGCTATTGTTACTGAAATTATTAGAGTCACTGTTTTCTTCATCTTGGAAACAATTTTTTTTTATATATTTGTTTTTCTTCTTTTTAGGGCATGGTATTATTTTTTTTCTTATATTTTACTGCTATTTCTCTTTTTTTTGAGTATGATTTCACTATTAAAGCATTGTTACTAGAAGGTTTGGGTAAGTTTTTGTCTTGGTGTCATTTTTTTTTCTTATATATTTACTACTGTTTCTCTTTCTTTCAGATTTGATTTTACCATTAGAGCTGTTATTACTGAAGTTATTGAAGTTGCTGTTTTTGGTATGGTATCATCATGGAGTTGTCATGCTGTTAATATTTTGTTGTAATTGTGCTGTTGTCCTTTTTGTTAAAAATTTTTTGTGTAGTGCAATGTATTTTTTACTGTAAATTCATGTAATACGATTCTGTTATTATTTTTTTTTTATAAATAAATTTAATACAATGTATGACACTTAAAGACTACACAAATTTCAAAATTTAATAACTTTTAATCTAGAAATGGTATCAAAAAAAGAAAGCTGCTATTTTGTAGTTAAACCAATTTACTACAACTTAGTGGCTTTATTTTTTAAAAAATTATTATATTTTATAAAGTTATATAACTTTAAATATATAGTATTTTCCATATAATAATATATAAAATCAGCCAAAAATGGGACAAATAGATCAACCAATCAAATTAAGTATTATGTATATAATGATTTGATTGGTTAAATAATCGCATAACCCGTGATGTTAAATCAACGATCTTAAAAAAAAAAAAAAAAAATCTAAAGAATAGTGGTGTTTGCGCATATTTTCTAATTAAACATAATTTGTATGCAGCTTCACATATGTAAGAAACAGTTTGTGCGGCCCTAGATACTCACATACGAAACAATTTGTGAATGGTCCTGATAAGAACCCATATACGAAACCTGTTTTGTATCTTTAGTAAGGACCCATGTACGAACAAATTTTGTACCAAGAACCCACAAACGAAATGTATTCTCTTGTCGTTAAAGTGCTTAATAAGTATGCCAAAGAGAAAAGAGTATAGTAAACTTAAGGAATACAATAAACAGAGAAAAGAACAAGCCGAAAGAAGACGAAAAGAAGAAAGAGATTTTGAAAGAGAGGTTGAGATTGAGGAAGAGGTTGAAATGCAGGTGTTGAGGGAGGATAGTGAGTTCGATAAGGATGAGGATGAAATAAGGGTTTCAGAGAGGGATAGTGAGTTTGATAAGAAGGAAGAAGACAATGAAGAGACTGACTATGATGATGAAAAAATACGTGAATGGTTAATTACCATGACCCCATACGAAAAACAGAACAAAAAACGCAAATGATTAAAAGAATGCTGAAAACAACCTATTATCACAAGTTTGGTGCTTCTGGCACCCTTACTAATGCTGTTAAGGGAACCCGTAAAATTACAAGTTTTTTTAGGTAGTTAATCGGGTTTTTTATTTGTGATTGGTTTCACTACTTGTTTAAAGTATTGGTTATTAACACCAATAAAACAAAGATTTTTTTTATTTTTTATTTTTTATTTTTTTTTAATTTTAAACAAGCAGTGCAATTTGAAAATTATGAGTATGTAAGACTTAAATCTATTTATTTTTAAATAATATTACAATATCTTCAATA